TTTTTTGTTTTTTTCAATTTTTACTTTTTTGTTTCTTTTTTTCAAATTTTACGTTTTTTTCATTTTTACGTTATTTTAATTGTTATTCAATTATACTTGGTAAATTCAATTTTTGTCACTCAGAAATAAGAAAAACAATTGTCCAACCATCAGTTTTTCATTTTCAGGGGAAATTGTACATCGGTGATTTTTATTATGGGGGATTTCAACAAAAAGCAGGGAAATTAAAATCGGGGAAAATAACACTCGGGATTTTAAAAAATGGCATTTTAATTTCAGGGATTTTTGTGACCAGGGATTTTAAAATTGGGGATTATTATTCGGGGGAAATAGAGGCGGGGGAATTAGAATCAGGGGAATTGTCCTACACCCGTTTTCAATGATACCTACTCAAAACTTCTTGGCTGATACACTGGATAACGTTTCAAGATTTATTGTAAATGCTTTTCATGGAATCACGTTTTTGGTGTCAAAAAGTAAATAAGGGGGTGTTTAGAAACACGTATTTACAGGAATCAGCAAAACTGCCAATCTCCCTAGGAATCTTGTGGGACCAGAGTTGACCTTGGGTTCCCACAATCTTCCTGAAGCAATAGTTGTCCTTTGAGGACTATTTTGGGAAATCCTTGAAATCCAGCAAGGACATCTCTCTCATTTTCCATTGAAATAGTTTTCTTGGTCATCTTTGACCAATTCATAAAGGCATTCAAGTTCTAGAGTTTCAGCTGAGCAGACCTTGCCATATCCCATTCATTTAAAATTGCAGCATTGTGTATCTTCTTGGTTTCTGTCTCCAGTCTTTGTGTTGTCCGAACAACTTGATTTCAATACTGTACTTGTGTTTTTCTACCAAAAAGGGGAATATATTGACTTTAAAATGGGCATTCAGCCCCTGCCACAGCCTGGCTGATCAAGTATTTTATTTCAAGCAAGGTTGATCATGTACTTCATTTCAAGCCCATATACTGTATTTACTCAAGTACCATGCGCACTTGAGTAAGGCACGCATAGGGGTTTTTCAGTTGAAAATTTTGCAAAAATCTTATCCCTGAGTAAGACGCGCACCCCAATTTATAGTGAATCTAAAACCATAAAATTTCAAAAATAAAAACAAAAAATTTGACTTTAGGCGTGAATTGAACAAAAATCAGATGAATTTTCAACTTTTTCAATACAAAATGTTTTCTTTTTATATTTGTTCCAAATTTCTCCATTATAATTGAGTATTTTGCAAACATAACTTTCTAAAACTTCTTGAAAATTTTGTACCCGCTTATGACGCGCCCCTTTTTTTCTTCTGAAATTTGGGAAAAAGGTGCGCGTGGTACTAAAGTAAATACAGTAATCAAGCATTTTGTTTCAAGCTCAGATAGTCAAGTAAAGTATTTTGTTTCAAGTTCAGAATTTAACTCCACTTTTCTTGCTGAGATTTTATTCCCAACATTCCTCAATGTTCGTGAAACTGAAGATTCTTGTGAAAAGTGTTTTGTACAAATCTTCCGAAAGGAATCTTGTGTGAAAGAACAAAGCTAGCGCTTATCTTTTCGGCCGGTCGCGCACCGGCCAATTGCTGTTTATACTTATTTAATTCCTCATCATCAAATTGACTCGACTTCTGTAGAAACACTTATATTCGAACTCATATACATATTTGAACACACTCATCTAATCAAAAAATTCCCACACTAAAGTAAATACAGTAATCAAGCATTTTGTTTCAAGCTCAGATAGTCAAGTAAAGTATTTTGTTTCAAGTTCAGAATTTAACTCCACTTTTCTTGCTGAGATTTTATTCCCAACATTCCTCAATGAAAAATATAAAGCTGAAGTACTCCTTATTATTATCTGTGATGACAATCTCAAGAGAGAGAGAGAAGTTAATTTAGTAGTCCAGAATAACTGGGACTGCTTTTTCTGCGTGGGAAGACTATTTGTCAGGTTATACTGAGAAAGAAAGCACTTCCTCCATTTACTTTCCTCCTTATTTTTCGCGAGAAAATTCGCGTCTCGTGAAAACATTTTTTTTTTCGATAGGTGCTGCATTCTCGCCTTCACTCGGGGTTCCCAGTTCTATCGGATGATCTTAGGAAATGCGTTTTTCCTCTGAATTCCGAGGCGGCACTCGACACAAAAGGCAGTTCGACGCTTGGAGGAAAGAAGTGTCGTCAGGAACCAGGCGAGCAATGTTTGTTATCGCGATCGAAAAAACCCGGGCTGCTGTTGATGAACTCTGCTTTTGAACTGTCCTGCTGCGAAAAAGGGATTTGAAAATGTGGAAAAAACGAATGACCGAGTGCCGACTAAATAAGATTTCACTTCTTTCATAGTCTGAGAAGAAGGAAAAATGGGATTCGTATATAAATGTACGTTGCTCAACCCCGGAATCGAAATCCAGTCTTCTCTGCTGAAATATTGCGTCCGCTGGAAGACATGTATATCTGTATATATATATATTTTTTTTTTTCATCATTTGCCCTCGGGGGCCTTGAGTGAATATGCGAATGTCTTTGATTGGAATTTGGATATGGTCCCGGACCGCGGCGTTGTTGAAAGGAGTACAGTTACAGTACTTTTCGCGAATTCAGGAAATAATGTCATTGAATTCGTGTATAAATCCTTCTGGAGGTCTTTGGAAACTTCGCTTTTCAGAAGCTGGCCTTTATTTCGTGTCGACCCTCGTGTATAAGAGTCGACTCTGGAGAAGCTTTTTTCGAGTGATATAGAGATGGAAGGAACTTGCTAACAAGCCTCTGAAGATGCTGCTGCTTCTGAATTCAAAATACAGACGCCTGTTTATGAAAAACCGACGGGGGAAAAAATATCGTGGAAAATTTGAGCTTCTCTCCCGTAAAGATTCGCGGTTTTTTTTTTTGGAAAGTCTGAAGCGTTTTTATTTGCATCCACTTTCACCGAACTTCAACCTCCTGATTTTTTCTCTTTAGGAAAAACATCTGAAATATTCCACCGCAAATGACTCCGAAATTTCCATGAAACGAATAGTCAAATTTTTCTGTTGATTTTAATTTCAAGCTTCTGTGTGTCGAAAAGCTGATATACGGAGTGATCAAATAATTTCTTGAAAAGAAGCAGGGAAGTACAGGTTAATTACCGCGAAATAATTCACGACAGGCGTTTTTTTCAAGAAGGAAGCGAACCATTTCATACATGGAAAGTCACGGAAGAGTTCATTATGTTACCATCAACCGTTTTTCACTTCCCATACAATCCCAAACTCAAATAAGAGGTGTTTGATGAAAATCCTTTGCAATTTGAAATTTTACACGAGCGCCGGAATAACGAAGGAAAAGTATGGCGACGTCGTCAAACTGATGCAAATTTGACTGATATCAAAGGTTGATTTTGCAGGCAGTTGTTTTTTATATTATTTGTTGAATTTCGGATAGCGTTTTTTTCCCACTACGGAAAGATAGTCATCAAAATGTTCTTTTGCGTGAGAAATACTGTATGTACGAATACCCTTCGACCCTTGACAATCAAGAGCTTGTTTTTGTAAGACTTGAGCTCTAAAAAATCTAGCTAAATACTACTATAGTTTCTTTGCAAAAACTGAATTGTGCGATGGGCTGTGAAGATAATTTTAATTAAAGTATCATTCGAAAAAAAGGAAAAATTCAAGTGCTCAACGAAAGTTCTGCATTCCAAAAGATGGATGAAAACGAGTAAAAGTTACTTGAGAAAAGGAATCAGAAGAAAATCCATGCATTCATTCTACCCTTTTCATTCGAAAAAAAGGAAAAATTCAAGTGCTCAACGAAAGTTCTGCATTCCAAAAGATGGATGAAAACGAGTAAAAGTTACTTGAGAAAAGGAATCAGAAGAATTAGGTACGTAAGTAAGATGGGAAATTTTATAACGCTTACTTCTGTTAGTTGTCTTATCACAAAGAGACCCGTTCTTAAGGAAAGTACGAAGTTTTCAAAAAATACTTGATGCGAAAAGTAGTCATTTTTTTTTTTTCCGGGTCAATATGAAGAAAAGAAGTATTCAATAAGGAGACTATATATAGGAAATCATCTTCTCTCATCCGAAATTTTCTCCTGACCCCCCGGCATTCAATTTTTAATCGCAGGGCATCAGTGATTTCTCGGGATACCACATTTTTTTTGTTATTTCAGTTTGGCTTTTTTTTTTCCTCTGTGTGCGGTCCAATATACATATATATCAGGAACCCGCGGAAATAAATCGATAACGCGAGAGTCCCGATTTTCTCGGCCCTTGGCAAAGATGGAAGACCTCCTGCACTCGACGGCCAACAGCAACGGCAGCGTCGTCGTCGTCGTCGTCCCGTCGACATTCCCCGACTCGAGTTATTGGCTGAACTCGACGATGATGTCGACAACGTCGTCGACGGGGCTCGTGTCGTCCTGGCCGCCGGAATCGACGGGTTACGCTATCGTCAAGCTCGTTTTGTCGATCCTGTACACGTGCGTGTTCCTCCTCGGGTAATCCATGCATTCATTCTACCCTTTAAAATATTGCGAATGAAGACAATCAACAGAATAGTGTTTCTCTGGGCAAGAATTCCTTTCATGCTTCAAAAGTTTTTTATGAACTACGCTTTTCATCAGTAAATTTTTTTTTCCGGGTCAATATGAAGAAAAGAAGTATTCAATAAGGAGACTATATATAGGAAATCATCTTCTCTCATCCGACATTTTCTCCTGACCCCCCGGCATTCAATTTTTAATCGCAGGGCATCAGTGATTTCTCGGGATACCACATTTTTTTTGTTATTTCAGTTTGGCTTTTTTTTTCCTCGTGTGCGGTCCAATATATATATATCAGGAACCCGCGGAAATAAATCGATATCGCGAGAGTCCCGATTTTCTCGGCCCTTGGCAAAGATGGAAGACCTCCTGCACTCGACGGCCAACAGCAACGGCAGCGTCGTCGTCGTCGTCGTCCCGTCGACATTCCCCGACTCGGGTTATTGGCACTTGAGCTGCTACTACAGCTGTTGCAGCAGCTGCCCCGAGCACAGCAGGACCGGCGGCCTTAGCTGCCCAATGCGATAGCAGTTCGAGCAAAACAGCTAGGACATGTGCACGCACAAGGAGGAGCCCCTTTGGCCGTTGTGCGAGCAGTAGATGCAGCACACAGCCAAGAGGTTTTACGTTTGGCAGTGCTTAGAGATGTAGGAGTTGGACCGACAGCGACTGCTCACGAAGAATTAACCAATCAAAGTAAATAAAGCTGGCTCATTTTCCTCTTTCTTTTTTTCCCCCTCTTGTAGATTTTATGGCTTCAATAGCGAGAAAACGAGTTCCGACGGTGTAAAAATAGTAAAGATGAAGATAAAGATTTATCGCTTTCCTTAAAAACTCTTGTTTTTTTGCGAAACTTGATCCTGCTTAGATAAGAAAGGATGAAGTAAAAGCCTTTGCGGACAGCCTGAATATTAAGTGAACTGAGCGAAATATATCCGAACTCAAAAATCATATTAATGTCTTCGCTTTGAGGTTTAATAAAAACCATTTTTTGCTGAACTTGATCCTGGCAAAAAAAAAATATCGTGTGAGAACAGCCTTAATACAGTACTGAAAGAAAACCCGAACTCGAAAATCAATATATTTTTACTGTCTTTAGGGTTAATGAGCAATAATAATGATCTGAATAGTAGTCAACCGGCTGTGGCCGACACTTGATGGAGTTCAAATGTTGTAGTAGAGATAAAATTACCAAAAATTCTCTCTTGAATAAAAAAAAATATTTTAATGCACTTGATCCTATCCAGTTAAGAAACACAACAGGACGAACAATTTTGTATGGCAGAAATAAAGTAAGAATTTATGAACACTATTTTAGTGACTTGATTGCTGTGATAAATTCGATCTCACAGATGATAAACTTGACTTTGAAAAAGGTTAAGAAAAAGAAAGAAGCGCAAATCGATCAACTGTGTTGTGGTTCGGACTTGACGAAGATTCAGGTTCTTCCATTCAAGTGAACGAAATTTGCGATATCCTCCTTATTTATCCATTATTTGTATTCCCTCAGAAAAGTGTTCGGAAGATTAATCAAAGGTACAAGCCGCTGAAGAAAATCGAAAGCTCAATAATGGAACGATAGTATTTAAAATAAATGTAAGCTGGAGGTGCAAAAATTCACTGATACAAAATGTGGAGTACTGAAATCAGTACATGATCAATTTATTGTTCTTATGCATGCTTACGATCATGGCATCCGATTTCTTTTTTTTTCATTTTCACTCTCGACTCAATAAAAAAAATGCATTTGCAGGAAGCAGTTCATCATTCGTATCCAATTTTAGAATTCCGTGACGGTTTCGGTTCACGGAAATGAATTCAAAGCAAGATGTTGAATCGATTCCTGAGATACTTCTGCTGTTGGCAGCTTTTTACGGCTTCCGGGTGACAAATGTTGAGATCTGAATGTCTCAATATTGACTTTAGAACTGAAATCCCGTTTTCCCCTTCGAAATAAAAAAGTCTTAATTTAAAATATCCGTGTATACTGTTTATTCCATAAAATAAATATACTGTATTGTTGAGTCACAGAAAAACTGGATGCTGCGTCTTACACACTAAAATATATAAAAATATCAATGCCTCTTAATCTTAAATCAGTCTCGGTGGATTGATTTTTTTATTTAAAAAAAATCAGGTTATGCGTCAAGCATGAATAAGACACATGGCACTCAAATGAATTCGGAACAGTATTTAATACTCAGGAGAAAAATATAGGTTGAAATAAACTTAGCATTCAATTTCCAGATACTGTACAAAACATTGTAGTGCCAGTCCCTCTCAATTGACACCCTCATTTTTTATATAATTCTCAATCTAGATTCCAAAATTCCAGAAAGCCTTGTTCTACCTAAAACAAAATCAAGCTTTCTCAGATGTGATGTCCTTGCATCAACTGTGCTATTATTTAAAAACTTCTGCTGCTTTGGGCAAGCATGCCACTCATTAATTATTGAATATAAATTCCTATAAATCATTTCCCCCTCCTCAAAATTGCAGTGCCAGGTACTTCCTGGAACTATTGCATCTTTGACTCCAGATTCTTGGCCTATCAAAGGTCTTCTCAGCCGTGCAAAGTAGAAATCAATGAAGGTTGAATATCTTTGAGTATATAAGCAGCTCATGTTCAATCATATCATCATCAGTAGTTGAGTTGAATTATTCTTTAACCAATTTATCCTAGCTGTGATAAGAGTTTGCTGAGTTGTTTATCAATTACCAGTATGAAATACATTTAGCCTGTTAACTTAGGAATTCCTACAAGGAATTCCCGGTCCTGTCCCAGACTGATTGTTGTGTTTTATTGCAATACTTTACATCAACTTATATTGCTGTGACAATCTGTCCCCAATATAAATTGGTAGCAGAGCGACCAAAGTTAGGTGTTTGGATAGTCAACTGTTTCTGTGATTCTGCACAGTAAAAAAAGGGTAAAACCACTTTTTGTGTCATTATTATGTGGGATACACGTTCACCTAAAAGAAAATTTAAAAAAAGAACTGCAAAGACGTTAATTAAGCTGTCTTCTGAAGGGCGTTGCTGGAGAAAACAAGTGTGTGAGGTATGACAACGTGTACATGTTTGAGATAATTATCCTCGCCCACGCAAGTCCAGTTGCAATGTTCCTTCGTGATCGCGTGTCTTCTTATATATGCAACGCTCAGCGATTTCATTTCCTAGAAAACATCATCCGGATATCTTATAGGAGGAGCTGATTAGGTTGAACTGACAATGGAAACAATGTGCAATACAGTATATCTAAGGAGGACAAAATCCTGCGGGTGTTTTTTTTTAGAGAAGAAAGGCCGTGTATCCCTAGCGAGTTTCTTGCTCAAAGGCGAAATGCTGGTGAATGTTTCTCGGAAAAGGTATTAATAGCCTTGTTTATTCGCTTCAGGATGGAGCATAATTTAAGCGCATTTCAAGTTTACCTCTCAGGCAACAATTTATAAACTATCATTGCTCTGGGATGCGCTGTTCTTGGAAAAACAAGGCGCTGGAAGGATTCTGCAGGTAGATTTTCGATCAATAGACCAATATTAAACATCGATCAATAGTATGCATGTTGACAAAAAGGTGATCTGGTTTAAAAACTGGGATACTATGATTGCTGCCGAGGGTAATTTGGGTTCGAATGTGCGATATTTGGACTTTACGTTATTAAGGATGAACTTCCGGAGTTATCTATAATATTTAAATAATCATGGTCATTGGAAGAAAAAAAATTTTAATTTTAATAAAATAAATTAAATTTTAAAATTATAATATATATTATATAATTAATTATAAATTTAATTTTATTTAATTAAAATTTAATTAAATTTTAAGTCATTTTTGGGGGTTTTTTTGTGTGTGTCGTTGATCATGGGTAAACTTGATTTCTATGTACGGTAGTTTTTACCCTGCTTTGAGGAAACACATTTCGGTGATGGGTGAAGGATTTAGGATTAAGAATAATTTTACTTTCACAGGAATCACTATACATTCAATACAGTGATACAGTATTTAATACGAATTAATTTATTACTATTGAAAGAAGTTATACAATATAAGAAACCATTTTCAACAGAGAACCTCACTTGAAAGACACCAGATTCTGCTGTGGCAGCATAATAGAATTCGTGGGGTTATTTCACGCAAAATTATTAGGAATGCAGTAAAAAAAATGCAAGTATTTTGTAAATACCTTATTTTACTTGAATTTAAATTTCGTTCAAGCCCTGGAGTAAGTGTTCTGGACCTACAGATTTTACAATTAGACGTAGAAATCTGAAAATGTTCATCAATTCCATTGTGTGCAGCAAATATTAGCAAATGAATGGTTTCTTCGATTGAAGAATTGAATTGAATTGAACAGCAAGCTTTATTTTCCGCTTTTCAGCATTCACAAGGTTGAAAGAATGTTCCCACATCCAGGACCTCTCCCCTCCTGACCCAAATTCATCCAAACACATTCTTCACATCAGAATGGAAAATTGAGAACCAGCTGTACATTCATATTAAAAGGAAAGAAAATGCATCCCAAAAAGGGTAACTGCACAACTGATATAAATATGCACACTTTCTTCCCTTTCCTGTTAAAACAAAAAACAAAAAACAAATCAATAATACCATTAAAGAAATGGATTTTCTTTATGCTATTTTTTTTTTAAAGATAAAATTTAATTGAATCTTAGAAATTCTGGTGTGCGCTTCTCTTAGCTTGATGTGAGACCTGTTCCTCTGAATAATTGGTTCTGCACGTTTTTTTCTTCTCTTTTTCGTATACATAGTGCAGATAAAGCATATAAGAAAGGCACAAAAGAAGGCATACGAAAATGACCTCATTCAGCTAAGAGGCACATTTCCTGCGGGGTTTTTTTTCTCTCTTTTCCATCTCGTACAATACAAGCTCGGAAGCCCTGACGGTTTCAGAATTCATGCGACACCGTTCCGGGCGCCTCGGGATGAAGTATTTTAAGGGACTACGAATGTCGAGGGTTGGTTCATAAGTTCTGAAAATTTCTGAAATAGATCCAACGGAGTTTCAAAGAATCATTCTTTAAAAATTGCAAAATTATTCCGCTAGGACATCAATCTGCTCTTCGACGGCGGAAATGAAGCTGTCCCTGTTCTCAAAAGCAATACATTTCAGGCAATTCTTCATTGTTGGGAACAGCTAGAATAATTCACAGAATGCTTAATCAACTAACAATAGACTCACTATTTTGCACTGTTTTGATCCCTGGATTTATCGCATGAAAAAAAATGCCCTGAAATCGGCCGAGAGTACTTTGAAGCGTTGCCAAACGATGGGGCTTTGCGAGAAAAGAAAAAAAAACACATTACGGAATTCTTGAAATTCCGTTGACTTTATTTGAAAGAGTCTCAAATCTTATGAACCAACCCTCGTGCACTTATGCATCATTTTTTCCTTCTCTCATTCTTCATCCTTTTTTTTGTGTATAAAGATGTTGAATATATATGTATATCTATATATATATATATATTCCGTTGCGAGGAAAGCTGTTTCATTAGTATTTGGAAGATATTCTGTACCCCCCGAGCTCATTCACGGCATATATAGCGAGGAAAAACCCCGTGGCATATTCTCGAGGTTTATTTTTGTTTTTCATCTTCCTATTTCATTTCCCCCCCCCGAAAGGCAGCAAGCAGCAGCTCTGCTGAATAGGTTTTTCTTCTCGTCCTGGAAAGATGCGTGCTTTACCCCCCTTTCTATATACCCCTGAAGCCTTCAACCTTCGTCTATTCCTCTCAGAACTAATCCCGTTCAATAAAGCAGGAGAGCGTAAACAAGGGCCTATACGACGTGTGTGCATTGGACTGGATGCCTTCACAAATCTACGAGACCAACTTTTCTGTATTGGTGCAACATGATCTTTCTACCCCTTGGTGTGTGTGTGTGTGTGTGTAACTGTATGTGGAAACAGTGTGTACATGGGATGTGATGGTTTCTGCCAAGGCCACAGTTTTGTTGATTTAAAGCATTTGACTGAGTTTTCTTGCTTGCACCTCTCGTTACATTCATTAGTGGACATATATATTTTTTTTTACTGAAGAAAGGTGGTCCATGTTAAATATTTCTATGAACTTGGCGGGGATTGTTTCATTTCAATCAGGTTTTCATCACGGAAACACTGTTCCATGGCGGTAAAATAGAAATAAAATGTTAAAAATACATTTTTATTTGTTTTAAAAAATTAGGAAATCATTTGATTAAACAATCAAGTTCCCCTTGAAGCTTAAAAATTAATTTGAAAAGGTGATGGAATTGAAAGTAGAAAATAAAATTCATTTGAGTGATGTATCACCCATCTTTCGGAAGCACAGTAAACGTTTCAAAGGACCTATGAATGAAGAAAAATATTCAAGACAATGTCTGAAAAGTTGTAAAAATTTCCAAAAGTGGAAAGTTTGAAGTGGAACCCTGTATATATCTACTTGTTTTTCTAAGAATTTGCCTTGGCGAAGAAAGCGAATGACCCTTGAACCGTGGAAGCGAATTTGAAAGGAACGATGCAATTGAAAATAGATAAAATCATCATTTCTCAATGTTTTTCATCCCATTGTCCCGGGAGCATTAATTGTAAAATTTCTGGGAATGAAAGAAAACATTCAAGTTAATGCTCAATTTCATTAAAAATCCGGACAACTATTGGGATAAACAGGTACAGTATAGAGAAATAAAAGACATCAAAGAGAAACACGACGAGAGTTGGTTTTGAAGTATACAGATCTAAGCTAAAAATTTATATGTTTTCTGCCAGTCTTTGCTAGATAATGTCAAAAGTTTTTGAAACTATAACGGTAGGATTCATTTGATACACTTTCCTTAAGTAATGCGCTTCATATCATCCGATATCCTCAAGCAACTGAATCAAAAAATACTTCAGTGATGACTGAAACCTCTAAAGAAAATAACCCGTGATAAATTTGCATACCCCGACATTCGATTACGTAACATCAGATAATAATTTTCGTTGCATCGATCTACGCATCCTGTTTCTGAGAAAAAGCGGGCTGATTTTTAGTTGCACGACGAAGCGTATGATCAGTTAATTAACCCAGGAAAGGAAAAATTAGCCCAACAATACATGGGACAGTGAAGAAAGAAAAAAAAAACTTTCCGTGAAAGTTCCTGGTGACGCAAAAATGGGTAATTCGTTTTGGAGTGAACTTAAGCGAGGAGCAAATGGTAACCCTGCTATTTGTGTATTCTACCCACGGGCTGCACCATCATGGTGTGAAGACGATTTTCTCTCTCTTAAATCCAAAAGAAGAAAAAATAAAAAAGATCGAGTGGGTATTTCCTGTGAGTATTGAAAATAAATTCCTGATCCCCAGTTTATCTTACCTTTTGTTCTCGTCGTAGCTGGTTTTTGCAATTCTCGCAGAAATGTGATCGATCTTGAATGTGATTGAAACCGGTCACCCAACGGATTTCGCGCCGAACCAGGTTCTCTATAGGTTTCCCAATGTTCGGAATGCTTTACAAAAATTAGCGCAAAAACATAAAATAGATGGAAAAGAAAATAATATCTTAAGGAAATTCAAAATGATCGACAAAGCCGCGGGCTTAGAATTTATTGAACAAGCACAACTTCGCCTAAAAAAGGAAAGAAGAGATGTTCTATGATTGCTTGCCTTCTTATAATGTGCTCTGAAGTTTTAATTAAATGGACAGTCGGGTCCATGTGTTCCTATATCTGAATATCTCACGGTTTTCCGGCTGAAATTATATTGTCAATTAAAAAGGAATAGGCTCCCTAAAACAACTGCACCGATTTTTTGTCGCGATTTCACCACCTAAGAAAGGTCGCATTCCATTAATTAGGCGTAATTTTTCTGACTAAATTAATTTGAATGCTGTGCAACACAGTGAAGGTAAACGATCCGTAACCCTTGAAAATTTCACCAAATTCCGTGTTACAATGAAATCGAGAGTAAATAGGGAAATTATTTGCATCCCATCCACCGGAAGTGTATACGTGTAAGATATTCGTAGCGTAAAGAATGAAGCCAAAATTAGGTTACAGGGTTCCAATGAATGATGAATGAACAAAAAACTTTATCAGTCATTTATTCTATTGTCTGCCACACGCCCCTGGTTTTCTGGTCCTAAAATTTGAATAAAACCCTATCCCCGAGTATGACGTGCACCCCATCCTCAGTGAATGAAAAACGACGGAGTTTTGAAAATAAAATGCATCGAAATCAGATTTTTGGCTTGAATTGATTAAAAAATGTGTTACTTATTATTGAAAATAATTCTGTGTTGAAATATTTTAAAATTTGCTTTACTAATCAAGTTTTAATAGCACCTAAACTTGTAAATTTTTTTTAGAATAATTGCATACCCGCTTTAGACGCACCAGCATCCTATTTTATTCCTCCACTCGATTTTAATTAAAAAAAAAAAAAAGTGCGCGTGGAACTCCAGTAAATACCGTATGTTCTCATATAGCTGCTTTTTCAGGTAGGTATTCGAGGGAAAACTTGGATGAACTTCTTCCAGTCGAAGTATACCTTTTTTCATCAAATTTTATTTTAGAAATCCTGGTGCGCATCTCACTGCAGTAATTGTATGCTTGAGCTGGTGCATGAATAAATAATGTACCTCTGCTCCTTGCTCGGATTCTTTCGGGGGATAAACTTCTTCCTGTATAGTTAAGGGAGATCTTTTTCATCAATTTCTATTGTGAAAATCCTCGTGCGCATATTATACTGTAATTCAAAGCTCGTGCTGCGGCGCTCGAGTAAATAATGTAATGTACTTCTATATCTTTTTTGGTTATTTTAACAGTTTATAATTTGAAATTTAATTTTGTGTGTGTGTGTGTTTTTTTTTTTCGTCATAGGGGTTCCCATCATTGTCACGACCATGTACGTCCACACGTGGCCGTTCGGGTTCTGGGTGTGCCGCACGTTCATGACGCTGACAGGCATCAACCAAATAACAAGCAGCATTTTCCTGACGGTCATGAGTGCCGACAGATACGTGGCAGTGTGTCATGCCATCTCAGCACCGCGTTGGCGAACGCCACTCATCTCGAGGTACAGTAGCTCTCAATATTTTGCTCATCCTATACAGTACTACTGATTCATTCATTTTCGGATCTTGGGGTCTTTTCTATGTATTGTTTTGTATGGTATTGTATTGTACTCTCTACCTCAGCGTGAGCTTTACAGATGCCGTGTGGGGTACTCTACTTTACTCGAATGTATGACGCGCTGTCCAAAAATGTGGGTTTTTTGTTTTTTTGGATACGACTTATTAAATCCTGAAATTGCGTCTTTACAAAATTAGAAGTTGAAAATCAGTGACGCGCTGTTGAAAATTTTGGGGTTTTTGGATAAGCTTTATTAAACCCAAAAATTGTTTCTTTACAAAATTAAAACTTGGAAATTTTGCATTCCATACTGATAGAAATGAGCTTAAGAAAGATTTACAATTATTGGATTTTAATGAAGAGCCTCTTTCTGAAATTGTAGAGGATCAAGATAAACTTGTTCATTCAACTAAACCTTATCTGGGAACAGGCTGCAGACCTTGTGCTTCAAGTTGGGTTCAGTAACTGCTGCAATTGCTATAATTCTGGCTTATGCTGCAATTCTTGTTACTGTTAATTTGTTTTCAATGTCTGGAAAAAAGAGGGTGTATGCATACACATCAGTTGTACGCTTTGGAATGTATTTTCTGTTATTTTGGTATCCATACACAGCTTTTTTCTCTGTTTCCCATTCTGAAGTGATTGAATGCGTTTGAATGGATTTGGGTTAGGTGGGGAGGGGATTTGGATGTTGGAGTGCTGATTGAACCTCATGAATGGTGAAAAGCAGAAAGTGAAGCATTCTGTTCAATCATTCATTCAACTTGAAAATGAGTGACGCAAAACTTTTTTGTATTTCTGACTTGTGTTTCATAGCATTCAAACCTATTTAAGTCGAATTTCAATGGGCCTGCAAAAATTTGAATCGGAAAGATTTTGTGTTAGGAAGGAAAACATATTTTTTGTGTGGGAAAGATACTGTAGAAGAATTGCAGGAAATTGCAAATGCTGATATTTTGGATGTTGAATTGCTTTTTAATAATATGAGTTGACAGGATGCTGAATTTGGAGGCAAGAGTTAATTTGCCCAACTAGTCTTTCAATTGCTTTCAAAACGCATCCAGTTACTTTTTAATGCTTTTTATTTTCCTGTCTCAAGAAAATAGAAGCCAAAAGGCCTCAAAAGTTTGGGTTCTGGAAGTTTGAGACGAAAAAACTTCGAGTTATGGAGGTTTGAGACAAAAAGACTTTGAGTTATGGAGGTTTTTAATGCATTTTGTCTATGGGGACTCTTAAGGGGACTTGAAACAAAATCGAATTAGTGAAGTTCGATTTGTCAAAGTTCAACTGGAAATTATTTATCATATGATTTAAACTAAGAGAATTTACTTCAGACGAATAAAAGCAACTTCGAAAGAAATCGTACGAATTTGACCTTTGTTCAGGATTCCAATTGATCTTCAAACATGTTTCGCTTCCTCCTTATTTGATCAGCACATTTTTTTTTTCAGAAAACAATTTCAAGCAACGTGAAAAAGGTCTTTCCCTCTCAGGATTTTGGCTGAGAATGGCTACTATATTTTTTCACGAGGACTTTCCATTGAAAAATGCTGGCTGGGGTTTTTTTTTTACCCTGCACAAAACTTGAAAGAACTCGACTTCCATTTTCCTCAAAGTTTTCTTTTTTTTTAGGTGACCTCTTCATGAGTTGTGCTGTTTGCGTGACGTTACCCATGCCCACCCTTTAAAAAATAGCTCTGAAATTTTGTTTTAAACCTGAACTCCCTTCTTTTCCTTAAAAAATGCGGAAAAAACGCTGAGCTATATTTTATATGTAGCATATATTCTCTAATGGGGGAATTTAGCACTCTGAGGTTATTCATGAGACGTTTGTGCTGTTTTTTTTAGCTCCTATTATAGCATAGCAAGGATTCAGCACGAGCAGGTGAACACCCTGCTGTTACCAGCTGTTTCCCAAATGAACCCGCAGCTGCAGCATGGATAAATTGCTGGTACTCTGACAAAAAAAAGTTAGAGCCCGGGCAGCTATACTCATATTTTCTGTGTATAGTTGAGACCATTGTAAGATGAATTATGTGTCTTTCCCACCTGCGTCCAGTAAAGCTAGAAATCTGGTGTGTTACGAGTTGCTTCTTTCATGCTTTTCGCATTTCTTTTCTATTGTGAAAAAGTATGATTGGATTTCCCGTGGTTCAAAAACTTCGAATGGATGAAATTATCTCTGTGGGTTCCATTTTAAGAAAAAAATCAGGGACGTTTTGAGTAAATTTTTGAGAGGCACGTCGGAAATAAATGATTTATTTTGTTGTAAAATTATACCGATTTCAAAAATATTGACAACCGATTACAGTTAACCTTCGATTTTCTGGATGAAAAAATTGCTTTAGATCGTTTAAAAGCGGAAATATTTTTTATTGCGAATGTATGACAATATTAATGCACTGATCTTCTCATGCCTGATTAAAACAAGCTTGAGCTCCTCGAACACATACAATTAATGCAAACAATTTTGCTCCTTTGCCTCGGAATCGGAAATGATTTCGATTTCGTCGATTGAATTTCAAACTCAATACACAATGCTTGCGAAAAACTCAATATATAGGCACTTGATTTCCGAATCCTTGACGCCGCGTATTTTTGAAAAAAATCTCATACTTTTTGCCATTTTGTGCGAAAACGTTCGTCTTGCATCCGAGTAAAGTACAGCTAGTAATTCATTGGTTATTTTATTTAATCATTTTCAGATTAACGTATACTCCCAGGAATGCTTGGAAATCATTTGAACTCAATATTACAAAGGCTAAAATTCAAATTCGAATCTAAAAAATTTTGTAAATCCGATGGAAGGAACTGTATCCTTCATCAAAAATGAAAGCCAGTCATTTTCATCGAATTCTTGTGCCAATTATTAAAAGTTTCCGGTAGTTCTGCGAAACTTCAAATTCAAATCTAAATATTTTGAAAATCCGCGGAAGAAACTGTTTTCTTTCTGAAAAATGAAAGCCAATCATTTTCATCAAAGTCTTGCCCCATTTATAAGGTATAGTTTTGCGTTGCAAAAGAAAAACTGCTTCTCTAAAAGTGTTTTTATCGGAATCGAATTCTGCATCGAATGGTAACAAGTCGGGCATTAAATTCGGGCAATCCCGTGGTTATGTACCATGAGCATATATATATATGTATATATATATATATATATAGAAAGATATATTTCGGCACAGGTCACGCAATCAGCCGCAGACGGTCACGTACAGAAATGTAAGCAGCGCGTGTAGGGTCAGCCGAGGAATGCTGATATGCTGCCGACTGGCCATAAAAGTACCACGCCGGAAAGATTGATCAGCGTCTGGTCGGAGTTTTCTTTTCATTCTTTTCTTGATTCATTTTATTTTTTATTTATTTTTTTGCTTCCGAAAAATTCCAGGAAACCCGGAATCAATCTTCACGTCACGCTGTAATAATACCTCGACGCAGCACATCAGCTATTCTGCGAGGAAGAAGAAATGAGATGCGAGGGTATTTACGAAAGTTCTTAAAATAGGAAGAGAACGCTTGCGAATTCCGAATACAGTACTGTACAGCACAGTACAGTAATGTACAGTATTTTGACACGATTTTATTTTCAAAGCCAAGGCGTTGGCTTGATTTGAATATCGCTCAATGTTAAATGTTGACGCATTTTCCGATCATAACTCCAGTGTTATAACATACTTATTTTTCTTTCTGAATGTTTATCTTCAGTTTTTACAGTTACTGATTTATCATGTATCTACGTATTCAAATGACCAGCGAATTTTCTTTTGACGGAGTTGAAGGCTATACATTTTAGATTTACCTAGGGAATTTTTCTGGCTTTGTACGAATTTTTTGTATATTTTGTAAACCACCCGAGTAGAAGAAGTTTTTGTTTCTTTGTTGATAGTTCCCAAAATAACACCACTTGTAGAATAATTAAGCATGAAATTTGAAGTGTAAACTGATGAAGAGCAGATGAGGGAATAGAAGAACAGAAAATCAAAAAAAAAATTCGTCACGTTAAAGTACAGTATTTCGAATGAAGGCGAGATTATCTGGAGTTGAATCTAATTTGATCAGGTCAATTCATTTCTATTCATGCTTTTTTATGTGCTCTTTTTGTATGCACAGTCATTTTTATGCCTGATATTTTGAGTTCCTGCTCTTTCACGCTTTTTCTCTGTTGCGCAGTTGATTCATTTTTGATTTTTTTTTCTTCATTTTTTGGCGGACTCACTCTTTTTTATGAAATTGCTCCCTTATTCTGATATAACTAATTATTACCTTATTAAGAGGGGATTTTGTCCGGATCGGATGCTACTTCATTAATTTTGTTGAACATTTTTTCCGATTTGGAGCCTCGATATTTTAAAAATATGGCCGACGTCTCCGAACAAGATGAATTAAAAAATATACCGGTGGACTCTTCCTCTAAACTACAACGACCTGTTTTACTACGCTTTCCTCTGTTTAATGATTTTTTTTTTCGCCCCATATGATGAATCTCTCCCCATTTTATAGCGATTCTCTACAACAAAATCCTCTCTGGAACGACTTTTTTCCTGCTCCCTTGATTTTTTCTTGTCGGGGAAAGAGGGAGACAGTCCACATGTATTTATGTATTATTCCGCGTCTGTCACAGATGATAGCTCACCCGGGATTTAATCTTGTCAGAGGCCGTCCGAGGAATTTCGGAAACGCCTTCGTGTTTGTTTTTGTGGGGTTCGGGGGGTGTGAAATATTAGGAACAAAATTTATGAATAAATAATAAAACCTCTGATGCGGTCCCAAGTCAAGCGGGTTCTGCAAGGGTTGTTGCGCCCGCGGCTGGCCAGCAGCACAGCCCCCGAAGCGTCCAGAAGGCGGAAAAAGTTTTCGCCCCAGCGGATAATCCGGCGCTAACCCTCATTTGCATAAGCGAATCGTGCGAACGACGGCTTCTGCTGCTGTTCCTTCTTCCTGAAGGAT